AGATGTCGGCGGGGGAAGAGATGATCTATCTCAGGGCAGAAGAAAGAAGGCAGAGAGAAGAGGAAAACTCAATGTGGATGTTTACGGGGGATTGGATATAAGTGCAAAAAAATCCAGTAATGGCCTTGGTCACTAAAGCACAGAAAAATTCGGGGGTGGGACCTTTTAGGTTGCCTCTCCAGGTACTGTACCACAGCAGGAACAAATGCAGAAGAAAAGAAGAAAAGAGGCCATTCAGCGACTGGGGACTGTAAACAGTGCCTTGTCAGTTGGTCTGTGAGGCCCCAGGAGCCAGGTGAGCAATGACCTGGGGCTGCAAGGTGAAGGAGGTGGTGAAGAACGGAGCTGCAATTGGATTGGATTGGGCTGAATTGTATGCATCATGCATCACCCGTAACGGAAAACGGCATCTCTAGAGTCAATTCTCTGGCTGCGTAATTATCGTGTTGCGTGTTGGGGTAACCTCAATTCGCCCCAAGATCGAACATGATCGCCAGACAGCTCACACCGAGTGTCCAAAGCAGGACGCATAATCTCTCAAGCATGCCACTATTCGCAGCTTTGACGTTGTATTACAGCGTCAATCCTGGGGTAGATGCCCCCCTTTTCGCAGCCTGATACGACATGTCAAGTCGTTTGAAAGTCGAGACGCTTCTCTAACAGATACGCACGTTGCCAGCTTCGTCCAATCATTTGAGTTTCGCCCTACTTTTTCAAGTTTTCTCTTTTTATCATTTGGCCCCCGCGCAGTTATTTGAGAGCTCCTCACCTCAATGACAAGCAAAGTGACGTACTGCTACTGTCCATAAATGCTAGCTCAAGAGCTTAGGTATCACCATATCTGTACTAAGGTGGGGGTAATATTGAGGTGAGCAAGGAATTCACCTCAGCATACGGAATAACCTGGGTTCTCAGAATAATAATGTCGATTCCTATAATTCCTTCGTTTACATTCTCTTCCCTCATATTCTGCCCAATCTCAACCTGACCGGGACGTTTGAGTCCGGTCAAGACCCGCAAACATTGGCATTGTGACGATCTCAGAGGGGGTCTAGCCTCGATATCGTTACCTAAAACCCCAGTTTGGTCTCTTCCCTTACCCACAGTGTCTCCGACCGCATGACAGCGAGTCAAGCTCAACACCAACTGGCCCGGAGCTTGGACTACCGGCCCGGCCCCTAGCTTCAACTCCAACTCCAACAGTCAGAACCTCAGGGCTGATACCTTCGTCCATTTGGAATTTCACGTATCTGATTAAAAGGGAAGCTCGGTGAGAACCCGAGCTTGAAACACCCTAGAAGCTCGCTAGAACATACAGAAGAAGATATTTTGTCCTGATAGAGCACAAGGAAGCAGCCCGGTTGGTCCCGATCTCGCGGGTCCGTGAGCCTCGAGAGACCACTTACAACTCGTCGAATCATGAGATAGACACGTTACCAAGACATCGTGTGGAACGTTTTCGATACTGACGAGGGTTGGTATCTCCATGCTCACCGTGCTCACCTAGACTGCGCCGCGGAACGAGACGGCCTCGCCGTGTAACGGCGACACGCGCCGAAACAGCTTTGATTATTCGCGCAAATGCATTAAACTGACAGGCATAATACTATTATGCCTGTTAATGATAAATAGCCACGAGTAATAGAGTTACGTAGCAACATTCCCAATAAGAAGTACCGGGACTAACGGAGCTAGCAATACCGAAGTCTTGGCAAGAACTGATACAAAGTTAGTAAGGCTCTAGGGTAGGTATTCAATAATGCTCATCGATGTCTGTAACCAGTTCCTTTGGTTGACAATTACCGTAATAAACATTAGGCCAAGGCACAAGACTGGCAGAAAAGGGAGATAGCACGCAAGATTGTCTATTTAGGTTTATCTTGATACATAATACACTCATTCATGCCAAGCTTGCTGATTTTAATCCATATAAATATATACTACCTAATCATTAAACTTCCATCGGTAGATTTCCGACACGAATATGCACAATAGACATACTGTATTATCATACCTACCAGGAGCAACTGGCGCCAATGGCAAGACTCGTGCGCCAGAACAACCGAGTCTTGCAATATCTGCCCGTTGAACCTCTCCAAAACCTAAAGGTCAGCGATGACCCCGGGCACTAAGCGTCAAATCGTACCCTTTACCACAAAAAACGGCATAGATACACATTGAATGTATCATTTGACACCCTTGGCGGTCGTTGAACCTCCTAAGGAGTTCATCGACAGACTAAATGTCTTCTTATCAACACATCCTCTGGACTCGATGCCAATAAACCCAGCGGTTCACGTCGTCTGCCTATACTTCATGGTTAAAAACCCCGCTAATCTGGAGTCGGAGGACTCTCTGAGGCAGAAACGGCCAATGCCAACAATTGACCTTGAGGTGAAAAAGCGATTGGGGCTAGAAATAGATGGGAGGCATCGAGGCGCAGGTGCCCTTCGACCATTCTTTGTTCTCACCTCGAAACGAGGAATAACATGAGAGTTGAGTTGGCACTCCGATGAGGAAAGAAGCTGGAGGACTTGGTCTATGATAAGGAACAAGCGGTGTTCAAGTGGGATGGCATTATCCATGAGGTCATGAATGCAATGGCTGAGGGGAGTCTACCAAACGAGGCGACATAGAATCGCTCACGACTAACTGCGCCACAACACAGGAAACCACTGTCACCCCCCAAGAGCCTCCTGTGTCAGCCGATGAGCCCATCGACTCCAAGAATTGAAGACCCTGGGCCTGCACCAAGCGCGTCAATACCACGACGTCATCACCGCGCTCATCGTCCGGACGGTCGACTGCAAACCCCTGATCGACACACTCAGGCAAGGAGGCCAATCCAGGCTGAGGTTTTGCCAATGGTTGAATCCCTATATGACGACTTCGGCGAGGAGGTAGCAGACGGCGCCCGTCTGTCAAGGGTAGATCCCAGTGAGATTGACGAAACAACAAAGTTCCGGCTCATGTCAAGACTTCCTACAGTCGTTGCACGCTTAGCGGACGTGTTATCCGCCGATGACGGGGTGAAATAGACCTGGTTCAATCCTGACTCAAATTATCATCGGGATAGGACATGAAACTAGAACTGAAATCATAAATTTTAGACCTTCCTTGTCTAATCTTAGGATATTTAGCTAAGACTTTTATGATTTTAGGATAAGCTTAGGCATAATTTTAGCTAAGATATTCCCATTCTTTACCCTTTCAGCACAGAGTTGTGATGATAATTTTCATAGACGTCTTTGATAACACATCAGGAATGTTCTCCAAGGCAGTAAATATGAAAGCCTCATAAACTTGTGAGAGTGTCGTCATAAAGCCGGTATTTGTTTCCTCTCGAGGGGAGATTCTTGTGCAGTGCCATGCCAGAGATATCCCGACGAGCAGTCAGAAATTCTTCACTGCTTGGAGACGAACATAAGGTTATCAGCGTTGGTATCTCGAGAGGTCAGTCTCTTTCATGAGAAGAATACAAGTTCCCGCAAAGTCGACTGGGAGAGCATCTTAGTTGATTCTCGCATGGTGCGTTGACGCATTTGTGGGCATGTGCCATGGCATGAGACAACATGGACAAAGGGTCTTGATGAAGACTCAATCTGCAATAACAATATTCCTGATCTTTCTCCAGTTTGAAAGTCTAGTGCTAGATGCTGGTATGGTCGATACTTGGCTGGGCTTGTGTAGGCTCAATTGTCACAATATAGATTGAGGTTTGTCATCGTCAGACCCTTGTAAAATATTGGAATGGATCTTGTGGCATCTTGAGGCTCGTTGCTACCAGACCGGAGATTCATTCCCCGACGTGCCTGAAATACAAAACTTAGATAGGGACAATATCCTCTTGGGCTATGAATTAACAATAGTCTCCTTCCATACCCAGTCTCGTAGCAAGTTGGCCGAGACAATCACAGATTTCTCTATTTAAAATAGATCAGGAGACATGAAGTTTTCAGTTACTTCATAAGAAATCGACTTCTGCCTGTAGGTGCTTGGCTGAGGTTTCACGAACGAAGGACAGCCTTTTGAAGGCCCGCAAATATCGTTATCTGGTGACATGAATCAGGAGATGCGGGGAGTTGTAGGGTACTCGAGAGAAGCTCAGGGGGCTTGCAGGTTCATAACTAAGTTGCCCAAGAGCTTTGGTATAAGTCTAGGCAATCTCGAGAGAATATGGCCTAATATATCCAGTTTTATAATTGACAACAAAGCGTTGGGCAGCCACTGGGATCGCCATGGCTTGACCGTTTCTCCTGGAAGAATCAACGTCGGTAGCACTGAGAGATCAGTAGACTGATTCATCATGCTCGTGGCAGACTCGAAGACACAGCCTTGGTTGAAGGTTGAGGGGAAGCGACCACAGAAAAGAAACCTATTGCTTCAGGAGACCAAAATTGAATTTTCTTTACGTCAACATTTCAAATAATAGAAGGTCACCCTTCAGGAGGTCCTGCATATAAGGTACCTCATCCCGGAATGGAATGAACGACCTTGTGCGATGAGGTGAACATTCAGGCAGGAGTCAACACTTGACCTGCACATTCCAATAATCATGCCACTCAAAGGGAAGGTGCCCAAGCTCTCACACCTTACTTCAGTTACACCGCTCACAACTTTCAGCTTTCAGCTTTCTTCTTTCACCTTTACACATTCAATCTTCTCATTTCGAGAAGCTTGATTGAAAGCTTGATTGAAGAATACCATCTCCGTCTTCGATGATTCTGAGCTCCTTCCGTGGCATCGCCAACTGTCCCTTAAAACGAGAAAGAAAGTATCCCCTCCAGCACAAGAGACTCGGCTGTGTTCTCGTCCCAAAAGAAGCCCGTGAACGACTTGCCAATATACGGAGAACACTTCAAGAACAAGAATGCAAACTAAGAGGCGCCTTACTTCAGACAACAGAACAGAACTCAACCCAAAACGAACCACAGCCATTTAGTGGAATTACAACACCAGCATCGTCAACAGAGGCTCACAAATATTCGAAGAGTAACACAATGGATCATACTGAGGCAGATTTGGAGAGTATAATGACCAAATTAAGAGGCCCCCAGTCGATTACAACAGCCGAATTTGACCTGATCGCCCAACACCCTGAGTGGTACACCACACTGGGCAAACGCGAGCGACTAGCTTTGTCTGAGTCCCGCGCTCTTCGACTTCTCGAGGAAGTCTCGAGCGACTATGAAGTTCACCCTGGTCGATATGCACAGATAGATCACTATCTCACAAGACATGGGCAGTTACATCGAATGATAGACGCTTCCAAGATGATGCAGCGTCTATGGGCTCGTCAGAAGGCAGACGATGAGGAGGATGCTGGACTGGTGACCCCTACTATTGAAGATAGCCCCCATACCTGGACTGAAGACCTGGCGACCTTTGCAAGAGGCTGTCTTAAAGCCCTCAGCGGCGAAACCGTCGACGTTGATGATGATACAGACAGATCACATTCAGGAACTGAGCACGAAGAAGACACTTGTATGAGTTCTGATCTGCCGGAGATCATAACCTTGTCAACTGAGTTCGTGGGACATATGCGAGATCAGATCAGTAATCTCCCTTGCCGAGCAGTCGAATGGGATGATCTTCTGGAAATATTGAAAGAAGAGGCCCCTGTGAAGGAGGATGTTCTATCTGCCATCAGAGCTATAATGTGTGGTCTGGTGAATGAGCTTGAGCATGCCAGGTGGGTGTTGGGAAGTCGCGGTACTTCCGAGGAACAAGCAATTGCCATGCTTCAAGCCCCAACCCATCTGGCCCGGATGGTTGGTGTTCTGAGCATCGAAAAATATGGGAATATAGATTCATATGCGGAATGGAAAAGTCTGGAGAAATGTTTCCCTGCCAGGTATAAATGCTTTTGGAACGATATCGACTACATGTGGCCGATACTCGCTGATATCCGGGCTTGGAGCGTTGTCAGTCGAAGTCTCCTCAGGATCTACCAGTCGGAGGTATGCAAAAATCAAGTAGAGCTCCTTCTCAAGCTCTCAGTGGATTTACATACCACCCGATTTGATCGTCATTCAAAGGGCCGTCCCCGGGTCTGAGTCTGGCTGAACGCCGGCCCATTAGAATCGAATTTTCGCCAACAGTCCAACGTTAACATCTACTTCCGAGACCCAGCCAATTCAAGAATGCAGGCCCTTGTCATTTTCTTCATGTCATAGAGTTGAGTTGTTCTCAAGGCTTCAAATCTTGGGCGTAACGTATGCCACCACAACCTACCAACAATATGGAATTAGCACAAGAGTATTCGTTGATTAAAAAGGGGTTGGAACTTAGCAATTCATGGAAGGCACGGTAATAAGAGTGATAATAAATCCCTTCGATATTAATTGACAGACTTTATTAAATCGAACCTGAAACGAAGAATAGTGACAACATGATGACAATTTAGTAGTCAGTGAGTCTATGATATCGGTCTCATCGCCAGATACTTCCCAACAACATAGAACTCTCAACCTAAACTACCAGAGCTTTCCTTTCCATATACATTTAATCAATGCTTACTACCAAATAGCTGAACGATGCTAGGAAGTTCGGGTCGGAGTTTTCAGGTGTTAGTCGCGTAGTCTAGGTTGATAAAAGGGGTTACATTTCATTCTCCAATCTAACAACGAGCAGAACTGTTCCTTGAGTTGTCGTCGATCCTAAGTTTGTAGCTTCTTCTAGAACACGCTGGTTGAGGAATATATTAAATAACCACTGTCTGTTATCCATGATGAAGTCGAAATGAGCCACATCATCAAAGCCCATGGCCTTCAGTTGTAGAATATAGCTAGCCGTATCCGATTCAAGGATCTCAAGTTGATTCAATGGTCGCATACCTTCCATGAAAGATAATGGGTGTAGAGGCGATAGCAAAAGCCAGGCTTGATGCGACCTGCGCGCTTACGAGCGGCAGCCTGAGAGATGGGACCCTTGAGAAGGGATTCCAATCCCATGCGCGGGTTACTATCAGATTTCTTGGACTTGCCGAGGTCTATCCTGTTAGACATGCGCAGTCGTAGATTAACACGACAACGTACCTATAACATAAACTATGCCGTCGATAGTTATTCTAGCCTCGGCAATGTTTGTGGCGCACACGCATTTAAGCTGTATTCTTGTTTTTAAGATCAAGCCTTCCTGGTTCCTTGGTAGTTTAGAGTACAACGACAAGTCTAGAAGCTCACCTATCTCCTTGCGGAGCAAATTGCAAACCTCCTCAACCTCCTCAACAGACTGGAAGAAGACAAGGATATCCCCGTACCTTTCCTTGTCATGGATATCCTTTGCAATCATCAGAGCCATGCTGAAGACTGCACAGAACAGGTTCTTTCAGATTAATGATCTGGACCGTGTTGTTTTTACTACTTAAAGTGAAGTGGGTTGTCTTTTCATTGCCGAAATAGCGAACGAACTTCTCTGCGTTCAACGCGGCCGGCATGACTGCCGCCTTTTAGACCCAGACATTTTTGGGAGCTGGTCGCTTTGAGTAAGGCCAGCAGTATCTCTCGACAAAGTGCGCTCGTGAGACTCGCCAGTTATGATACCGGCCTGTTACAATTAGCGTTATGCTCTGAAGCAAATAGGTTATGAACAAGGGAAGGGAACAGACGTAGAGTTTGAAGTTTGCGTCGGTCTTGGCCAACTCAGTCAACATGCCGTCGGCCATGTAGCCAAGCTTGGTCTTCCACGGATGGGGTTTGCGGTCGAAGCACACAAGATAACCAACCTCGCCTCCAACTTGCACCTCCAACTCCACGGCTGTGCGTGTAGCCAGTGAAGTAGCTGCGATCCTGTGAGGCTAGATGCAGGCAATCTTTCCCTGTTTCTCTGATTCATTTAATAGTATGAATTGGGGGACCTGTGTTGTCTTTCCCAAGCCTGTCTCGCTAGACAGGACGATCACCTGTTGTACAGTCAGATTGGCGCAAGGTGCGGTGTTGGCGATAAGCGTCCAGGAACTCTTGTCTCCTAAGAGAGACAGGGAGGGCTCGTCGCTACTTAAGCAGTTCGAAATACTTTTCTGAATATTTTTCTCCTGGTTGAAAGGGGTGATCCTTTGAATCCTCGATTGCGATCCTAGGCGGCGGTTATCTGGTTTTTTTTTTCCGTTGAGGTTTTCTATCATAGATCAGGGGCTTCTATGGACTCCCTGTTGTATTTGTGAGTTTGACTGTCGTTGGTGTTAGTATCTGTGTCTGACAGACTGGGGAGGATATTCTTCCACGCGTAACTTTCGTGTCTTTCATCATAGTTGATACAGTTCATAGACAAATGCTTCAATAATAATATATAGTTTGAGCTATTTATTATTGCTACGAAACCTATGCTCGTAAGGCTTGAAGGTCTCATAGGCTTTGCTGATTTAATCCTGCTTCGTCCCCGTCTTGGTCGATTATGGGTATCTCTTTGGCTCGTTCCTCCAACCCTTCCTCAGGGTCACTGGGCTGCCAGTATGTGCGCGCCTCGAGGTTCAGGAACTTCAAGCGGGTTTCAAGAGAGAAACGCGAGCGACCCTCTAATGCTTGTTGTGCTGCTGGTGCCCTTCTTAACACTGGGAGCTTAGTCCCCTGACACTGCTTGACAGCTGCTCGTCAGTGATTTCTATCATCGTGAGAATCATGAGGACTTATTGAAATACACCTTACCAAGTAGAATCAATTACTGCAGCCAAAAGTCCATCTGCTTTCTATGAGGTCTGGGGTGCCGTTCTCAACATCCGTACAACTATCACCACTCCCATGATACATCAATGTACAACAATAACAAATAATTCGTCACCTTGATTACTCCAATCGAAGCCAGTCAAGTAAGCCCCTGTTTTGCTGACACCAGCCACTACTATTTAGCTTTCTTCATTCCACCATCTAGCAATCGTGTGCCTTGACTTCATCACAACGAGCTGCTCATACGTAACAGATCTCCCTTTACAAACACCAGAAGGAGATCAACCATAAGGCTATTTACGGCGGCCTGATAGTCAATCCTGAATCATGGTTTCCGGATTACAAAATCAGACGTCATCGACTGCTACATAATCATTGGATGTAGGTATGTCAGGATGCGCTGTGCAGATCAATCTGGCCAAGTTCGAGATGAAAGACGCCACCAAGTGCGCAAAGTATTTGCTTTCGAAGACCTTACTGCCGACAAAATGCACCATTATCTGCCCCCAAGACTGCCAGTTCTGCAGTGGCTGAGCTGTATTAGCATCACGTTGCTCTCTGTACCCAAATGGAGCACACCGCATCCGAGTATGAACGTCGACGTCTACTCATTGTTCCTATCAGTACACAGGGACCAGACAAGAAGATGGCTCTAGTCTTGCGACATATCCCAAGTCCTGACGAACAGAACCAAGAGCCCTCGGCTCGGACCTTTCTTCAGGTCGCCAAACGAGATGGTATCAAAACTGATATCAAAACCACCATCTCGACCGATTACCCAAATCCGAGGCACAATGCTAATCTCGGTACTTTCACCCGGGCAGGCCGACTCGAAAGCATTGGGATATAGATGAACGACAAATCAAGCAGGCCAATGGTTTCTTTGGCACGGAATCCTGTCAAAAGCTTTCCAGCCCTTTTCTTCGTCGGCATGATGCCATCCAACTTGGTGTCTAAGTGGTGCCTAAATAGGAGCTCCTTTTCAGAACTTGGCTCTCAAAGGACCTCTTCGAGTTCACCATGCCTATGAAAGAAGAATAGAAGCAATAAGTCCAACAAGAACGGGGAACCAAGTACTGTTTGTAGCGTGCCCGCCTGACTGCTGACGATGAGGCAACGGTAAAGGAAGGCATCTACAACCATGAGTATGGCTTGCTGCAGCACCAGCTGCCGAAGGGCGCTGGGGTTAGTTCTAGTTGTCATGGGCGCTTCTGGCAATGGATATTTCGCGGACGTTATGTCAAGCATGATATTATCAATAACAACCTGTTTAGCAAGGGGTTTGAGACTGTGTTGACACTTGCCGCTGGACCACTGTCTCTACAGACGTCAGCAGGTACTCTCAAGTCGAGTCTGGCTTACTAGTGAGTACAGCATGCAGGAATATCCATGTCTTGTTAATACGCCATGTGGTAAGACTTGCTCAGAACATGTTTACATTGCTTCATGTCTGTTCTCCAAGTGACTTTAATAAAGCATTATATATGGGAGCGCCGAGCTTACTGTTCTGGAGTGGTTGGGCCCGGGAGGCTTGTTAATAACGATAAACACATATTGATAGCCGAGCAAGTTTCAAGACATGAAGTTTATTCATTCATACTTCCTTAAATCGCGGTGTAAACCTTGTGCGATCAAAGTTTGAATGATTTAGAGGATTTCTGGTTGCATATGACTCACCATCACGACAGTGAAGGGAATTATATTGGCTACAGAAGACCAATAGTCTCGAATCGTGGAATCCCAAATATCGTCAACGCCCGAAATAGCCTTTGTGAATATGGTCATGTGGTCTCGAATCACACCAAAATTTTCTCGACATTGTTATCTGTTAGCTCTGCAATTCCCCCTGATGCTGAGACAAAACCAAGCTTTTCTCATTCTCCCATAAAAACATTGTGCCCTTTGCACTTACTATCGTATCACGATACAACTTTCGTCCTTTGGTAACATGTTTAGTATTAGAACTGTCCGGTGACATGTAAGCGGCAAAGGGGCGTCTGTGATTCACCTCCATTCGCTTGTTCTTTGTGATGTTCTCAATTTGTCTTTGTTCCACGGCCAATTTCTAGTGGCCATGCTCACGGTTGAGTTTCATAAACACTCAATGCTAAGTTCAATAAATGGCCAGAAAAGAAAAATCACAAACTTTTCAAGGCTAGATTTCGATAAACTTTCTCAAAAAACGACTTCCAAAGGGTATAGACTTTTAACAATGGACCATATAATCTACAAGGTCTCTTCCTTTTTATCGAAGATTTTCTTGGACCCAATGCCTCCAATATCCCGACTTACGCAGTCTCAACCAACACTCGATTTAGAGAGCCATAACAGACAATCAAAGACTATAGAGAACAATCAAGAACCACTATTAACCGCTGACATGGCAGTCGGTACTGTTACTGTGGAGGCTCCCCTCGACGAGCCCAAGAAAGGCAGGGTGTTGATCGTCAATGGGTTTCCGGGCACGGGGAAAACAAGTATTGTGAAGAAACTCAAAGAGCGACTCCCCGGCCAGAAGATCCAGATAGTCGACAGCCCTATAATGGCCGGACCATTTTGCGCTCACGCGCTTCAGCGAGAGTATCGATCAGCCTACCTTCATGAGATCCGAAGATTGGCAGACCAGGGCTACACTATCTTGGTGACAGCTTCTCTGGCGAACAACATATCGAGCCGCAAAGTTACCGAAGACATTATTGGAACTGTCTCCGGGAAAGACATCTCCTTAGTCTGGATCAACATCAGCCGCCAAGAGGTCATACAAGATCACCAAATATCGAACCCAACCCGGGTAGCGAACGGCGAGTCGAAGACAGGAAAACCCGATGTCTTGCCTTCTACCGCCGAGCAAGGCCGACTTATTCGTCCCTCGAGCCTGTGGCATAAGCTGGATGGTATCAACTTGATCACTCGAGTGATGAATATGGGGAATGACCTCGAGGAGGCAGTCAAGAAGGTATCGGAGGTTATGGCCCGAGAGGAATGAGCCAACATTGTCTCTGGTTTTTCTTTTGTTCCTTTTGCGGGAGGCTTGGAGTCTGGGCATATCATGATACCCGGTTCTGTTCTTTGGCATACCGTTTACCACATACAACCACATTTGCTGGATTTTGGAGCGCATATGAGACAGTGCAAATGAACAATAGTGCAAATTGGAAATGCAGAATAATATTAAAATCACGTTCAGTATGCAGTTGCATCCGTACACAATTATTGAATCAAAGTGTTACGCGCCTGAATCAGTTGGTTGCAAACGTGCAACACCATACCCTGGATCGTGATACCATCAAACAAACATTCCTACGCCAATGCAAGTAAGACAAAACAAGGGAATTAACAATGTCATCGTCGGAAACAACGGAGCTCAGCTGGGCCCAATAGAGCGGTCTACCCATGGTTATAAGACATGCTATGTCGTCGGTGAGCATTATACTATGAATGCCAGGCACAGGGAAGCTGCATAAGAAATTACTTGGCCCAGTTCGTTTGTACAAGCATAATTCTAGGCATAGCTCTATTTTCAGGATTAGAAACACTCGAGTCTTTCTTGACTCGATCAACGGAGAAATTCTTTGGAATGTGATGATATGTCTGACAAGTGGCAGCCATGTTCCTCGAGGCCAAGACAGCATTATTCATGAATGGCGAAATAGTGAGCCGTACTCCGTAGCAGTTGAAAAAATCTGAAATGTCGAATTTTTAGCATTACCGAGAGGAGGATCGACAGAGTAGTACGCTTATAGCGAAACGAGACCGACGTCCAAGCGAGCATGTTCCTCGGGGTTCACGGAGAGACTATTGACTATCTCGGCGTCTGTATCGTTTGACAGGCCGGGAGCACACCAAAGCACAGAATACACGTGGGTAAGTGCGCAAGGGAAAGAAATATCATCATTAGAGGGGGGGGGAAGGCAAAAGCAAAAGCAAGCCCTGGCTAATAAGGACATGGGCCTTTTATTAGACGCGGATCAGGAGGACGGGATAAGGAGCATGGACCGGGGGAGAAGAGAATTAGGTAAGGACCTCGCCTAACAATTAATTGCTTTGCCTTGCCTTGCCTTGCCTTGCCTTGGGTTGATGAGAGGCTTTCGTTCTATACGAGATGAGTGATGACATGTCTCAATTGACAAGTCGAGTGCAGTATCTGACTCTTGGCTTGAGTCTTGCGGCGCATGGTGAAACGAGGATATCGCAAGCCGGAGGAGAGGCAACAAAAATGGACATAATTATAGTGAGCGAATAGACAGAGAGATGCTAACAAATTTGAGATAACAAAGCCATTGTTTGGGTCAAGCTTTCAAGGCCATTCATTGGTGCTGTGCCTAAATGGACGCCATCTAGGACTTGAAACGCGCGGCGGCCGTATAGCGTCATGAGCATGGGACACAACTCCAGAGAGAGTGGATAAAAGTCCGGTAGTTTGGTAGAATTTGTGTTATTATTTATGTACCTCCACTGGCGATATTGGCTCGAACCTGGTCCTGAATGAAGCTGGTAAGAAATGGAGATATCCATCACGGCAATTCCTTTGACCGGTTGACGACAAGACAAACGGTACTCCGTAGATAGACACCTGATGCAACATAGGTATGCACTCCATAGTATGTATAATTCAGCTATTATTATTTCAGTTTCCTCAGCTGGGTTTCTGCAGCAGGGATCTAGTACGAGGCATAAATGCCCAGGATGTTGCTTTGTTCAGACCTTCAGCGTTTCTTGCCACGAACTGGTGGCGGGATTCATATAAAACGGTTATCTATTATACGCGGCGTCAAGTAACGGTCAGGTTATTTGCCTCAAAAATAAAGGGCCACTGACTTGTTGAAGAAAAGCCTCGTGGATATTGATTGATCTACTGTTGATCGCTCAGGGGTTCCATTGACGGGAAGTCAAATCAATGTTGCTACCGCAGCGCCCAAGTGCCCGGGCGATAAGTGCACTGTATATTTGAAACACATCTGCAGCATTCATCAGTGGCTTTGCGGGAATATATGGCCTTGTTAAGGATGACATGTTAAAGTTTGAAAGCAGATTGTAACGGCTCGAATTGAGCTTTGGTGTTTTTTCTCCAGCAATGCCGATCCTGTCTGCACACAGACACAGGCACAGACAGGGAACGTTGCAGCGATGGATTCTAGAGTGCATGCATCATCAGGTAAAGCGTACAGAAGCGAGGAGCAGGGGATGATGATGCAAATGCAAACGCCTATCGGTAGGGGAACTATGTACGTTACTGGAACTTGGCGTGACCACAGCTGAAAACATCATCACCACCTCCAAGTTACTGTTTCTTAACGACTTCGACTATTGACTATTGACCTCAACTAACCTCAAGAGCTTGCGAGAGACCGCATTAGCTTTCCTGTTTCGTTTCTCCGCCCAGGGACCCCGGTCGATCGTTTCCGCGCCTGGTCACATCGCCCGTTGAGCCTATCATCGTCTGGGACAGAGAAGGTCAAGCTTCGGATTAAACTTCAGACATTGGTAACCATCATAGACTGTTTGGAGAGAAACAATGCCAACTTGATTGAGCACAGTAAGCAATTAGCTTCCTATACTCCGTACTACAATCTAATGTACAGGTTGCCGGGGTTAGAAATGTTAGCATTGGTACAAGATCCAGAATATATTATGTCTCTTATTTTCCTTACTATCTAAATATAAAAATACGTATATTAAATAGTATATAAATTTCTACTTTATTAGATATTTTTATTTTATTTTTTAGTTTTATTAAGGAATATATAAATATTAAAAGAAAACCTGAGTAGCAAATCTTGGTATATCAGGGCCCAGTTTTGCACATTTCTAATCCCGGCGACCTGTACTTGGGCTAGCCAAGGTATTAGGTAGAGTGATATGCTTGTGTCTTGTAATACAAGACATTCCGGAGTTGTCGTTTCTTGTTCATTTCCATAATTAGTGCAATTGGTCTCAATTCAAGTTGTCACTCTACTTCAAACTCGCGCCGTCTTCGACCTCCTTCATCTGGTTTGGCTCTGGTTGATAGATATTAGATCACTTGGCCGTTAGGATTCGACAAGGCGTTTTGCTTTTTTGTCCCTTCACGTTGCATCACACAGACACACAGGGACAAAAGATACAGTCGTATTGTTCATTACCATCAGAAGATTCTCGAGGTCAACATCAACCACAGATAATTTCCCACGTTGGGGACCAGAGCTCACTTTTCTTGATTGCGATTGGCTGTGTTATCTCTCAAGCCGGGGTTGATGGAGTGGGGGTGACGATCCCTGATGTTAAGGTCACGCTATGGAAGAATCAGAGACTCAGATCGACTCGAAGAAACGGCAGGAATGGCTTAACTATCCTAGGGCGATGAAGATGTTTAACCTGGAGGAATGGGGTTTCTTCAGAAACAATGGCCTTTGCCAGCTTCTGTTACAGTCACTGGAGAAACAGATGCGCAAGCAAATGACTGTAGCCCGGGCAATCAGCACTTGTGACAGAAGTATGAAGAAATGTTATGTCAGTTCTTCGGTGACATTGTCAAAATGACAGAACGGCACTGGCCCCTGGGACAATGGAGCTCCAACGTCAGTTCAACACAACAAACGGCGCAATGCTATTGTTTGCGTGTGTGTATTGGAGACCGGTACCCAAGTGCTCCGGCTCTAGTCAGGTCAAGTATCCATTACTTGACATGGCAATGCTTGTCTCTCGTGGTTTGAGTTTCCCCGGCCCTCAATCAACTCTAGGTCAGAAAAGGAGTTCCCCTCGAATTCTAGATCTCGCCACTTGAACGTTGGCGTTGGAGGCTAAGAAGCCACCAACGAAGACGTTAGTTATGACATGTCATGGAACTTCTTCTCCCTGATGACGAGAACAAAGCAAAGAAATCTGCATGACTTGGTAACTCTAACCAAATGAATATCACAACGTCCGAACTATGTACCTATATGAGGTCCGTCCACGGGTCATAACGTCGCCATAATAAAATACCGCCGTCCTGTCCGTTCGCCATGTACCCGGGACCTAGGGACCCATGACCCCTGCAGAAGGCGTGCAGTGTGCCCCTGACGGCCCCAGCATCCCGGCCCCTCAATGGGTGGAGGGATTGGACCTCTGTAGCTCCTCATCTAGCCCCTAATGTAGGTACGGTACGTAAGGTACCGGTACATGCATCGTCTGTTCTGTTTGACCTAGAGACAGACGGCATCCCCTTGCCTTGACTTTTCAGTGCAGGTGCTTTGGTAAGAAGTTTATTGACTGTAAGGAGGGATTTGGAGCATAGGGGTTTCATTTTCGTTGAATTTCCATTGTCTGTGAGACTGTGACAAAGACTCAACACCAGCATATTCACCTACATACAGTCAGTCAGTCAGTCACTCACTTATACGCGAAAAGATTGGTTACACTCAATCACATTATCTGTTCTGCATGACTGCGCCGACAAATACGACTCAATTGTTTTCAGTTCCTACCCTCCTTGTTTACTGATAAATGCCCGGCGCACCAAACTAGGAGAAACCAGTTACCGTACCTATCCCAACCTAGAAAGTGACTGGCAGGGGATCAAAGCCCCCTTGTGCGCCATCTGTCTCATAATTTCGCCCGCTGAAGCCCTGTTCGTTGAGTGCTTCTGGTTCATTTCTGCCGTTGTTGTTCCTCCACTTTCGCTCCATTCAACGGACGGGAGCTCCCATTCTACCTGTTCTATCCATCCATTCTCTCAACTGAAAACGGTACGTATAGGTACTTGACCTCATTCCATCAGAAGCTGTCTCGCTTCTCTTGGCTCTCTAGCTCTACCTTAGGTAGGTACCTAGGTAGGCCTACCTTCCCTTAGGTACCTTAGTTCTCCACTCACCCCCCCGACTTACACCCATTCATACCTTCTCTCGCCTCTTCTCCTTTACTTTTCCTTCATCTCTCCCCTCGTTTCTCGAGTTTCAATATTCTCTCTCTCTTTTCTTCCTTGCTTTTCTCTTCAAAGCCCGGTTGACTCGAGCATTGAATGAAGTC